TGCTAGAAAATGGTCACAATGAGAATTCAAACCTCTGATGACTGTGACATGAAGGAACCCTTTGGAGCTGTGCAAAGCCCAACCTTCAGTTACAAGCAGCACCGTGCCACACACGCCCTGAGCTGGGGCAGTGAGGCCTTGGGAGCTCAGCAGGGAGCTCTCAGGTGGGAGCAGGGTCATGGAAGGCTGAACCCCAGGGGAGCCAGAGCCACAAGCCGCTGGTGCAGAGATGCATGTCGCTGCCTGGCCTCTTCCTGGCCTCCTAGAGGACTGGCTGTCAGTTTTTCTTTCATCCATTCTGGGCGCTCTCTCAATCTTCTTCCAGTAATCCTTGTTAAACCAAGCCGCTCAGTTTCTGCTGCTTGCCATCCCGGAACCCACAAGGACATATCTCTTTCTGTAGGTCCATGTTGGCTGCTGGGGATGGACAGGAATAAGATGCAGGCCCACCTGGATGAATTCACAGCCTACTCGTGATTAGGGAGTGATTATTCTCATGACAAGAAGATTCTTCCCCTTGTAAAAATAATTTGCTCCTAGGTCTTCCTTTTCTCTCCTTATTCCTCCTTCTGTAAACTCCACGGTGGCTCCTTCTATCCCCAGTGCCTGGCCCACAAGCCCTCAACAGATTCATTGAATGAATGGATGGATGGTGTGATCATCTCCATGTCTACAGATAAGGAAACTGAACTTTAAAGAGGCTTATAACACATGCTATCAACAAATGACAGAGCAGAGATTCAAAACCAGGTCAGGCTGCATCTTCTCTCCACCACACCATGCTGTTTCTCTTATTCACCCTAGAAAGGAGCTCTCTGCTTTTCTTGGATAGGAGAAAGTCAAGGTACCGAGGAAAGACTCTAATATCAAAATATCACATTCTGATTTGGCGGTTCCTTAAAAAGTTAAACACAGAATTATCATATGACCCAGAAATTTCACTCCTAGGTATACTGAAGACAGGCAGACCTGAAAACAGGTACTCAAACGTGTACACAAGTACACACATGTTCACAGCAGCACTATCTGCAACGGCCAAAAGGCAGAAACAGCCCACAGCTCCATCACTGAATGAATGGATAAACAAATTGTGGTATATGCATAAAATGGAACATTATTAACCAGAAAAAGGAATGAAGGGACCGGCAGGTGCCGGGTGTAGCATTTACATTAGCGCTTTGCTTTGGTGGCCTGGGGTTCACTGGTTCAGATTCTGGGTACAGACCTACCTACCGCTTGTCACGCCATGCCACGGCAGGCGTCCCACATATAAAATAGAGGAAGATGGGCACAGATGTTAACTCAGCGCCAATCTTCCTCAAAAAAAAAAAAAAAAGGAATGAAGTACTGATACATGTTACAGCATGGGTAAACCTCAAAAACATTATGTTAAGTGAAAGAAGCCAGACACAAAATGGAAATGATTCCTTTTATATGAAATATCCAGAATAGGTAAATCCACAGAGGTGGAATACAGATTTGGTGGTTATCAGGGGTGAGGGGAGGGGAAAATGGAGAGACACTGCTGAATGGGTAGGGGGTTTCTTTTCGGGGTGATGAAAGTTTGGGAGCTAAATAGAAGTGATGGTTATACATCATTGTGAGTGTACTAAATGCCACTGAATTGTTCACTTTAAGATGGTTAATTTTATGTTATGTGAATTTCACCTCAATTTAAAAAATCACGTTCCAGGAGCTATGCTGGTACTCAGGAACACCAAATGTTTCCCATGGCACCTTTCTCAGCCCCAGGCATACAGTAGGCGCTCAACGAATGCTTGATGCTTTTAATTGGTGTTTTGGCTGTGCTGAAGAAGCCCTCTTTTGGAGGCAGTATGATCGAATGGCTAGGAGTACAGACGGCCTGGATTCAAATCAGATCAGCCACTTATGTGACCTTGGGTGAATTTCTAAACCTCTGTATAGTTTTCTCATCAGTAAAACTGGAATAATTGTGCCTACCTCATAGGGTTGTTCGAAGGACTACACAAGATTATAATGCATACAAAACAGTCCCTAGGACATAACAAATGCTCAGTAAATATTAGCTGAAATGATGATGGTGATTATCTGCCACAGTAGGTTCCATTTCTCCCAATCCCTCTATTTTCAAAAGTTTTCAGGCTGGCCTAGTGGCGTAGTGGTTAAGTTCGTGCGCTCCACTTTGGCAGCCTGGAGTTTGCAGGTTTGCATCCTGGGTGCAGACCCACACACCACTCACCAAGCTGTGCTGTTGCAGCATCCCACATACAAAACAGAGGAAGATTGGCAACAGATGTTAGCTCAGGGCCAATCTTCCTCACCAAAAAAAAAAAGTTTTCGTCATACTATCTGTCATACATTTTGTGCGGCAGAGATCTGGTTTTGCCAGGAAAGCAGCTATTATCCTCAAGGCAGACTGACTCCCAAACGAGAAGCCAGCCAGCGATGAAATTCCAAGGACCTTGCTTGGTTTTTATTTCCATCAGCAGCAGAGAGCTCCCAGGAAATGAACTCTACACAGAATGATTAGAGGGTTCCTGTTCCCTTTGGCCACCTGTGCAATTTAGTGCATTTACTGTGAGCTCTGTTTCTCTGTCATTTACTATGTGGGATGACATTGCTTCCCTCCCAGCCCCAGGCTATTTCCTGTGCTCTGTGATGTGGGGAGACTTGCAGACATGGGAAACATGCCACACAGCTGGTCAGCCAGCCTCAGAAGTCCACCCTGGTGCAGAAGGGTCACCAGGCTCAGAAAACATCCTGTCCCATCCCAAACATGTGAAACCTGTGCCTCTTGTTTATGCCCAGGTCATACATTGGATGTTTTAAAAATCATTGTTTTAAAAGTAATTAAAATTGTTTACTAAAGGTAATGCATTCACAAAGGCTAAAGAAATCACAGAGTACCAAAAGGAAATGCCATGAAAAGGAAGACTCTTTCTGCTCTCTGCCCTTCAGCCTCTCAGCCTTTCAGTCCCCCTCCCCTGAGGACATCATCACAACTGTTTCTTGAACATCATTCGAGAGATAGTCTATGCATATAGGGACATATATTTATTCCTATTTCCACGACCCCCATGCACACTTTAGCACAAATGATACCATACATGGAGTTCTGCATCTTGCTTTTTTAAAACTTAACTCTCTATTGTGGTGGTCTTCATGTTAGTTCACAGAACTCTGTCTCCTTTTTAATGGCTGCATTGTGTTCCATTTTATAGGTGCTCAAAACTTTACCCAACCAGGTCCTGACCGATGGACATATAGGTTGTTTCCAATATTTTCCTTTAACAAGCAGGGCTGCAATGAATGCCCTTCTACAACGAAATGAGAATTAGATTTCTTTCTGTTGGGGGTTGGGTTTCCTCCTCTTCCCCTCGCACTTTCCCCAAAGAGTTGCCTGCATATACAAGACATGTCCTGTATTATGTCCTGCGTGCTGTATTGGCTGTCAGAACACCCTGAATGTTGTATTCAACTTTTTTTCAATAAATTACAAAAACGCCTCAGAGCTCTTTTTCCTACACAATCACTGGTGCTTAAATCACTTAAATGGCAACACTAACTGAAAAGCATATCTCCACAAATAAAGATCCGGACAATTCCTTATGGTCTCCTGCAGGTTTGACTGAGGGACGCATTAAAGGCGAGATTGATAATTAAAAGCACTTATTTTCATATTCAGGGAAGTCCCTAGTCATGAACAGTAAGCACTGTAAATAAGAGATAACTTACAATTTTGTTCTGAAAATCAGCCAATCAGCAATCCTCTCACCCCAGGAACCATGCTTCTGAAAGCGAGCTAAACCCTGACAGCCCCAGGCTTCGGAAAGTCCGCCAATCAGCGGCAGCCCCCGGCTCCTAGACAACAGCCAATCAGCAGGCCCCTCACTCCAGCGACCGGCCAGAAAGTCAGCCAGTCAGAGGCAGCCTTGTTCCGGGGAGCCGCTAACGCGGGCGGACGTGTTCCATCCCTAAAAGCTTCCTCTTCGCACGGTCCGCCAGACCCTGCGCCAGGCTCCCCGAAACCTTCCAGAAAAGCCGTTCTGGCTTTGTTGAGAGACTTTACCTCGAAAGCACAGTTCTCAATTCCAGGCAAACAGGAAGTTCACCTTTTATCGCATCAAATGTCAAGTTTGATTTAACGTTAGTCCGAAAATTTGCAGCCCTTTTCACAGTTGGACCTCTGTGGTCAGTTGGACTTGCGAGTGACACGCACAGTCACAGCTGTGAAACTATCAAATTCAATCTCTTTGACTCTTGCAGTAGTTTGTCTTTTTTAAATTTGTGTATGTTTGAAACGCCAAGTACCCAAAAGCAAGCATAAATTTTGTGCTGAACTTTTGGAGCAGTGGATATTTATTAAACGAGGAAAAATTCCTTTCGAAGCTTTCTACAGTATGCAGTTATTCATTTAATATAGAAAATGGTGGAATGTCAGACATAAACCAACATATATTAACAGCTAAGCATAAGAGATGTATGATTTCCTCAACTAGCACTAAGGTAAGTGATAAACTAACAAATTTTTTTGATTAAGAAAAATTAAGGGGTCGGCCCTGTGGCTAAGTGGTTAAGTTTGCGTGCTCCACTTTGAGGGCCCAGGGTTCGCTGGTTTGAATCCTGGGTGAGGACCCACACGCTGCTCATCAAGCAATGCAGTGGCCGCATGCCACACAGAAGAGCTAGAGTGACACACAATTGTGTAGTGGGGCTTTGGGGAGAAAAAAAAGAGGAGGATTGGCAATAGATGTTAGCTGAGGGCCAGTCTTCCTCACGAAAAAACAACAACAAAATTCCAATGAAGAAGATGATATAATCGCAGCAGAAATGTACTGGCCATCCACATTGTACATTATCATCATTCATTCAGCTCAAATAACTGTTTGAATGTACTACTACTAGAAGTGCTTTCTGGTTTCCAAATTGCAAGCAAATTTTGAAATTCCAAGATGAAATCTGCCATAATAAAAATGTAATAGCTCCATTTATTATTATCAAAGATCTAAATGTCTCACCTTTTTATGGCATAGCCAGAATGCAAGCAATCACAGCGTGGAAACTTTTTCTTTGTGCAATATTTTTCCTGTGAAAAAAGCTTTGCTTATAAGGCTCTTGCAGGTGGAATCCCTTCCGGATGAAACTGTAGAAACAGTAACAAATTTTTGCAGAGACTGAGTGGAGCTAATGATATACACACACAAACACCAAAAACAAAGGGACACAGGAAACTTTTGGAGGTGATGGGTGTGTCTATTACCTTGACTGTGGTGATGGTTCATAGGTGTATGCATATATCCAAACTCTCCAAATGGTACAGATTAAATGTGTATATATAACTGTTTATATACAGAGAGTTAATAAGACATTTTTTGCTACTTTTGTTGGAGATAATACAAATACAACTTTTGGTAGACGTTTGCATAAAAGCACCAACGGTGTTTCTTCAAAGTTGAAGCAAAGCCTGGGCAGGTCTGTGGAAGGTGTAGGTTATCCTGCCCGTACTCTGCATGATGCTGCTCTGTCGTACCTGCTGTCTTTTCTGTTGAGATTGAAGTAACTGTAGTGAAATTGTTCTCCTACTTCAGCATTTATACTGTTCCGAGTGATTTAAGGATTTTTTTGGTGATTTTGTTGGCATTCAGTAGTCTTCTTTTCTCTCATAAAACCCACTGGCTCTCTTTAACAAATGCCACTAAGAACATCCCCCATTTATTTGAAGCACTGACATTATACCTCAGTTCTGAAGAAAAGGACCCCAAAATTCTTGTTGACTTTTAAAATAATGCATTAAATGAAGTCACTTATTTTTTGTTCATAATTTTCAGTATCAACTTAGCAATAGGATTATGCAAGTTGAAAGAAGAGCAAACAATTATTGAAGTACTCTGTGGCTTAAAGGAACTTGTTAAATGTGTTAAAGAAGAATTGATGAAAAATTTATCCCCTTTATTACCAAAGCTGTTCTTAAAAGGGACAACATTATAAACGAAAAGGAAAATAAATTTTGTCCCAAACTGGATAATTATTGCAGCACTTGCTGTGACCATCTTTTGAAATGGATTTCATCCATTGAAAAATTCGATTCTTTTACATGAATGTTACTAAATACTCTTTCAGGATGGGAACAAGTGGAATTCATCATGTGTAGCATTGTAGAAAAAAAGGAATAAAAATGGATAACAATGCTCCTTTTTGCTAGTGGACATTTTAAAAAGTTGTCGATCAAGAGATGCAATGTAATCCTGAAGACTGGGAAAGGAAGTGATGCTATGAACGGTGGCATTATGTGCTTCAACCGATCAAACTAAAGAGCAGTTCTCAGAGCTGTGAACTTTATGCCAGTACATGTTCCATATACTGGCTCAGAATGCTAATGCTGAGCACAGTTTCTCATTAATGAATGTTCAATGGCCAAGAACAAAATAAGTTGGATATGACCACTGCAGAAATCATGTCAAAATGTAAATGGAACATAGAACATAGACTATATAACTTCAAGGAATTTTATAAGCAAATTCTGCAAAACAGGGAACTATTAAGGAAAGCCAAAGGAAATATCACCAGGGAAATATAATGAAAGAGGTCTTTAATTTAGATATCTATAATTTATTTCAGATAAACAACAAATGTTTTTAGAGTATGTCTCATGCAATATTTTTCTTTTATCTCAAAGTACAAATGCATAGGCTATTAGAAATAATTCATTTAACTAGGTGTCCTGTGTTTTTATTTCTTAAATCTGGAAATTCTATTCCTCCGGCCTCTGTGCCTCCATGTCTTTGATCATCCCTGTCTGTAATGCCTCCCTCCTTCTCTTCAATGACCAAATCCTAATTCTCTTTCGAAGCCCATCTCAAAACCCTAGTAACAATAACAATCTTTTAGTGATGGCTAACTGTGTGCCAGGCACTGTTGTAAGTGCCTGACATGTATATTAAATCATTTATTCCTCCCTGAGGTAACTATTCTTGGTAATAATAGTACATACTATAAGGAAAATATTATTTTTCCTATTTTATGGATTAAGCAATTAGGGCACAAAGAAATGCAGTGACTTACCAGAAGTTAGCCGATCAGTAAGTGGTAGAGCTGGGATTCAAAGCCAGACAGTGTGGTTCTGGCGTCGGTTTCTGGATATGCCGCCCACGTCCATCCAGCTCCACTCTGCATGGCTCTCTCAGGGCTCTCATCTGCTTTCCCATTTACTGTTTGAACCACACAATCATGCAGTTTATTATATTTTTTCCCTTGTGAAGGAGCCTAAAATTACTAAATTTGTTCTCATCCCCCCCCTCCCCGCCTTTTCTTTGGTGAGGAAGATTGGCCCTGAGCTAACATCTGTGCCAGTCTTCCCCCATTTTTTGTATGTAGGATGCCTGCCACAGCATGGCTTGATGAGCGCTGTATAGGTCCGCACCCCGGATTGGAACCAGTGAATCCCAGGCAGCTGAAGCAGAACATGTGAACCCAACCACTCTGCCGCCAGACCAGCCCTGTTGTTTCCCCCTTTAAAAGGAATTCTGCAATAACCAAGAGGTAGAAGCAACCCAAGTGGCCATGGACAGATGAGTGGATAAACAGAATGTGGTATATATACAAGGGAAGAATTTTCAGCCTTTAAAAGGAAGGAAATCCTGACACTCCACAACATGGATGGACTTCAAGGACATATTATGCTAAGTGAAATACACCAGTCACAAAAAGACAGATACTGTATGATTCCATGTATATGAGATATCTAGAGAATCAGATTCACAGAGACAGAAAGTAGAATGGTGGTTGCTGGGGACTGGGGGGAGGGGGAAATGGGGGTTCTTGTTTAACGGGTATAGAGTTTCAGTTTTGCAAGATGAAAAAGTTCTGGGGAGTGGCTGCACAACAATGTGAATGTACTTAATTCTGAACCGTACACTTAAAAATGGTTAAGATGGTAAACTTTATGTTACATGCTTTTTACCACAATTAAAAAATTTTTAAGGGGCCAGCCCGGTGGCACAGTGGTTAAGTGCACACGTTCCACTTTCGGTGGCCCAGGGTTCGCCAGTTTGGATCCCGGGTGCGGACATGGCACCGCTTGGGAAGCCATGCTGTGGCGGGCATCCCACATACAAAATAGAGGAAGATGGACACGGATGTTAGGTCAGGCTGTACTGGCCAGAACTAGGCTACCTGGTCACACCCTAGCTCAGAGAAACTGGGAGAGTAGTTGACTTTCCAGCAGCCACAATGGGAAGCAGCAAGGGAAAGGGGAGGCCGTGAATGGCTGTCGGGTTAGTATCTTCCATGTCTGCCCAGCCCTGAACCAATCATGGGCAGGGGCATGGAGGTCTCTGATTGGTTAGATCCGAGGTCAAAGGGTAGGGCCAGCTCCACCAAACCCACAGGAACCCCGTGGACTGAGCAGGATTTTTTGGGCTTGGGGAGAGGGTGTTTGCCCAAAGCAAGGGCATATTAAAGAGTACAAAAACATGGGTCCACACCAGAGCTGCACTGCACGGGATGAATCCACAATTCTTTTAATTAGCCAATTTTACTTCCAAAACAAGAGGATGGGAGGATGGGTGTGGTACCAGTTCAAACCCAGGATGCAGCGGGAGGAGCAGGAGTGGGCAGGAGGTTAGGGGAGAGAGCATTTCAGCTTATAGAGCGGGCTGTAAGGAGGGCGGAGGAAAGGGGTAATCACGCTGGCCTAACAGTTCATCTAATACTCGCAACAGCCACAGGAGGTCAGTATTACTGACTTTCTGGTCCATTCCCATGTTCCTGGTAAGAAAATGGAGAGCCGGAGAAGTTGAGTCATTAGCTTGAGTCACTCACTCGAGAACCCAGGATTGGCTAGACCAGAAGTCGACCCAGGTCTGTCTCATTAGTCCCCAGGCTCCCTGCCTGACTCCAGAGCCCCCGGCCTAAGGGAGGCCCTGCACTGGTTCCCCGCAGGATGGTTAACTTGGCGAGGGAAAGAGGCCCGATTAATGTCAATGAAGTCACTCTTCCTGGAAAGATCCGAATGCAGCTGCTGCAGACCAGGCCCACAGCACCTGATGTGTTTGGAGATTGTGGTTGTTAACTTTATCGTGAAACACCTGCAATCCCCATGCTGAGGTGAGATTTCTGACTGAATTTTTAAAAAATACACCAATGCTGAGGCCAAAGAACAAGTCCCTCAACTGTGAAGGCATCAGCTCCACCACCCTCGTCTGCCTCATCAGGGTCTCACCAGACTAAGCCCACCTCTAGCCAACAGGTGGGCCAAGGGGACAGGTGAGCCAGTCACGGGAACCGCAGAATGCAGCCGCCCAGCTGATTGTGGACGGCAGGTGTGGCGTGTTCCCATTGCTGTAAAATATAACCTAAGTGCATGCACGGAAGAACAATTTAGAATGTAATCTAAACTGTCAGCAATGGTTATCTTGGGGTAGGGAGTTGGGGAGACCAGGGACCTACCTTTTTCTCTAGTACATACTGCTGGAAAGGTTGACCTTTCTTTTAAAAAAGGCAGAAAAAAATCCAATTATATTTAAAACAAAACGTTGTAATATCTAGGCAAATAAATGACATCTAAGCAGGCAGGGCCAGGCCCAATCCTGGGCGACTCAGGAAGCCTTTCTGCTCCTCCTTCCCCGCCCCCGGCGCCCGGTCCTGCGGGCTGCGTTCCCAGGGCGCCCCGGGGCCCCCCGAGCCTGCCTCCCACGGGCTGTTCCCAGCCGGCACGTCCCGCGGCAGAGATGAGCTGCAGGTGGCCCCGGGCCGGGGAGGGGGCCCCGCGGGAGGCGAGCGGCGCCGCGTGACCCGCGGCCACGTGACCCGCGCGGGGCGGGGCCGCCAGCGCCTTCGCCGCAGCCGCCGCGGGAGGTGTCCGCGTAAGTGGGGGTCGAGCGGGGCTGGAGGGGTTCCTCCTTGCGGGCGGGCGCAGGCAGGGGTCCGCTGGCAGCGCCCCCCTCCGGCTCCCTGGGGCCGGGACCCCAGCGAGCCGCTCGAACGCCCTCCCCAGGCGGGGCCGGCGGGGCGATGGGATGGTCGCCATCGGCGTGGGGGAAACGCTGCTGTAGCCCACGGCCGGCCGATCTGGCCCCCTCCGCCTCGGGCCTTCCCACTCTGACTGGCGAGGGCGGGGGGAGCAAACGTCCTCCTTCTGGAGCGAATACTGTGACCCCTTGTGGTTTGGGGAAACTGAGGATTCACAAAGCAAGGCCGGCCTGTGGGAGCCCCCCGCTGCAGTACTGAAAGAGCACACACCTCTCCAGGCAAAGCCCATGGCCCCCACCTGCTTTAGTGGACCAAGATGATCACACACACATTGAGGATCCTCTACTGAGGAAGAGTCCATGGGTGGGGAATAGGGGGGCGGGTAGGGCTGGGTCGAGCTACAAGATAGTAGCCAACATATTGAATACTGTGTGGTTTACATGCATGCCCTCATTTAATATTCACCATTGTGAAGCATGTCAGGTAGGTACTATTGCCCCCTTTTTCACGAAGGAGAAAACAGGCTAGAGAACCTGGGTCCTTCGGCCGAGGTCCTGCAGTTGGTAAATGGAGGAACCGAAATGAGAAGCCACGTTCGTCCCCCAGCAGCGCCTCCTGGTGGGTGGTGGAGACGCCTGGCCCAGCCTGTTAATTCCTCTCTGAGCTGAGTTAGGGCTTTCGTCGTCGTCTTCCGGGCTCAGCCAGCCAGGGGAGAGGGTGTTGCTGGGTGAGAAGGGCTTCTTCCCTCTCTCCCAACCATCTTCATCCCTTTCTCCCTGCCCTTACCACTGATTCCTTTTGTCACCGGCCCCCTGCAGGACAAGATGAAGCTCATCATCCTGGACCACTATTCTCAGGCCAGTGAGTGGGCAGCCAAATACATCCGGAACCGCATCATCCAGTTTAACCCGGGGCCAGACAAGTACTTCACCTTGGGGCTCCCTACTGGTGCGTTCTGGGATGGAGAGGGTGCCATGGGTGGGGGAGAGAGTGGGCATTAGTCTAAGGGGTCTGTTAGATGGGCCCACTCAGCCAAGGGACTTTAAGGAGGCCTCTGAGGTATGGGCACTGTGTGTGGACAACTCTTCTGCCCCAGGACATACAAAACAGAGGACCCGGCTTTGTTATGGGTTGGTTTAGCTGCTGCCTGCTCCTGCGGAGTCCTAGAGCAGAGGGGATCTTGGTTAGGCGGGAAGACCTTGCTTTTTAGGCTACATCCTAAGTCTGCCCTATCAGCCCGGGTTCCGTAACAAAATGAAGTCCTGATGCCTTACGGGGTACATTTTATGTAATGAATTTCTCTTCTGTGCGTTTGAGCGCTCCTCACTAAGCAGCATCCTTGGGAGAATTGAAAAGGTCCTTACTCAAAGCATTTTCTGTAAGGCTTAATTAAACACAGGCCGAAGTGAAAAACAGGCCCGGTTTCTTTGGGGAAAAATCAGAATGTTGCCTAGAAGGAGGATATTTTGACCCCAGCTCCTCAAGGCAAATGTCCTGATTATTTCTTTCAGAAGTGGGTGGATTTGTCCCAATGGCCTGTCCACTAGAGCAGGGGTCTTCAAACCTTTTCTGTAAATGGCCAAATAGTCAATATTTTACGTTTCACTGGCCATACAGCCTCTGTTGCAACTATTTAACGCCACCCTTGTAACTCAAAAGCAGCCACAGACAGTGCATACATGAATGAGCATGGCCATCTGCCAGTAAACTTTATTTATGGACACAAGTCTAAATTTATATAATTCGCACATGTGACAAAATGATGGTCTTTTGATTTTTAAAAACTTAAGAAATATAAAAACTGTTCTTAACTCATGAGCTGTCCAAACACAGGCCACAGGATCATGTGGCCAGTGAGGTGGAGGTTGGGGCCTGTGCACTAGAGGTTTGCTGGGGCAGCATCTGCACGTACCTGTGAAACCACCACCACCACTGTCTCAGGCCACATGGGGGCTGTGCTCACATCCTGCTTTCTAACTGTGGAGCAGCCCCGGGTCAGAGTCTGGGCTTCCGCTGAAACCCCTCCCTCGTTCCCCATCATCTGCAAAATCAGATCCAAGCTCCTCAGCGTGGCATCCAGGGCCCTCTAAGGCTGGCCCCTTCCTGACTCATATTTCAACCGGCGTAGCATTTCCATCTGGGTTCCCTGGGACACTCCTTCTGTGAGATGAAGCACCAGTCATGTCTGCTGTGGAAACCACAGAAACCAACTCCACCTAACTTAAGCAGAAAAGGAATCTATTGGCTAGATACTCGGGCGCTCACAGAATTGATGGGAAGGTTAGAAGTTTGGAAGATGGACAAGATGAAGCTCAAGGGGGCAGGGAATGGCGAAGGCCAAGTCACAGGGACAAGCTGATTATTTGGGGGTGCTGCCACTGTCATTCATTCAGCAGATATTTATTGAATGCCTGCTGTGTGCCAAGCTTTTCTAGGAGCTGGGGATACAACAATGTACAAAAAGGACACAAATTCTCACCTTCCTGAAGATTTAATTGTAGTGGGAGAGACAGATAATTAACTAGCAAAATATGGAGTATATTAGAGGGTGCTAAGAGAGGAGGAAAATGAAGCACTGAAGGGGGATAGGGAGTGTCTGGGCAGGGGTGGGGGTTGCAGTGTTGAATGTCGTGGCAGGGAAGGTTTCTCTGAGGAAGTGACCTTTGAGTAAAGGCCTAAAGAGGCGAGAGTTAGCCAGGCAGATACCTGAAGTAAGAACATTGCTGGCAAAGGTAACAGTATGTGCAAAAGCCCCGAGGTCGAATTGCGTGGAGCAGGATGAGTAAAGGGGAGAGAGGAAGCCAGGGGCCAGGTTATGCAGAGCCTTTGTTAGGACTGGTTGTTACTCAGAGTGAAACGAGAAGCCATTGGTGGGTTGTGAAAAGAGTGATCTGATCTGAGTGAGTCTTTTTTCTTTTCAAGTTTTTATTTTGAAAAATTTCAAATATTCAGAAAAGCTGAAAGAATGGTACAGTGCCATTTACCTAGATTCACCAGTTGGTAACAGTTTGCACCATTCGCCTTCACCTCTTCTGGCTCATGTTCTCTCTGTCTATACACTCACACACACACAAACATTTTTTTTTCTGAACCACCTGAAAGTGAGTTCCAGACGCCCTGACACTAAATCCTTCAGTGCATATTTCCTCAGAGTGAGGACATTCTCTTACATAACCACAATACCCTTATCACACCTAAGAAAATTGAAACTCATTCCACAATATCATCTAATACACAGGCTATATTAAAAATGTTTCCCTAATTGTCCACATTTCTCTCTTACAGCTTTTTAAAGAAAATTAATCCAGTGTCCTGTCAGGCCTCATGCATCTTTAGTCATTTAGTCTCCAGTGGTCCTCCTGCCTTTTTTGTGTTATGACGTTGACTTTTTAATGACACTCAGCTCGAGAGTTTGCTGCCCTGCGGTGGTGGTGGGGTCTTCCCTGAACCCTGAGCTTACCCCGGTCACAGTCAGCATTACTGCTTCGTGTCGCCACTCCTAGACAGGGAGCTCTTCCAGGGTGGCTGCTCTGCCTCTTCTCTGTGTCCCCATCCCCTGGCCCTGTGCCTCGCACCTAGTAGTTAGTCAGGGAGTATCACGTCAGTAATTAAGTCTGACGGTCACTCAGGTCCTAGTCACAGGCCTTTCAGTTGTCAGTGTGCTGGCGCTGGGCATTCAGCGGTGAATGAGACAAACAGCCTGCCCTCCTGGAGCTTACAGTCGGTGGGGAAAGAGGCTTAAACAAGCAATGCTGGTGGTTAGGATTGCAGCTTTGGGGTAGGACTTCAGATCTGATGTGTTTCTCTCAGATCTGACAGGTTCTTCTTGTGGAGCAGCCCTGCCTCATTCCTGGGCACCCTCTGGGCTTCCAGGAGCTGGGGGCTGATGGGCATTCATGGCTGTGGCCTCTCTTGCAGGGAGCACCCCACTTGGCTGCTACAAGAAGTTGATTGAGTACTATAAGAATGGAGACCTGTCCTTCAAATACGTGAAGACCTTCAACATGGACGAGTATGTAGGTGAGTCTTTCTCTTTCAAGGTCCTTGAGTGATTCCAGAAAAGTCCTACTCCTCACCTCATAGGCTCGGCCCTGGAGAGGCATGGGGATGTCTCAGGATGCTTGGTGATATGCAGTTAGCATTGCCTGTCTCTTCCAGGCCTTGGGGCTGCTGAAGCTGACCTCACAGGTTGTAAGCATTACCTGATGTAACAGATGTGGAAGCCTCTCCTGCAGAGCAAGTGGTTAATAAATACTAGAGTATCTCCTTCTCTGCCTCCCCCACAGCTCCATGCAGTTTCTGGAACAAACCATTGCAAATGGGATCATGGCTAGGGTGTCTCCCCCACAGTCCATGTCTGGACTTTCTCTCCAGTGCTCATCCTCCAGCGCCCCTTTCTGCCAGGTGCACTGGGAGGGGTGCTGAGGCTGGTGTCCTTTCCACTGCTGAAAATCGACACCTGGGTCTTCTTGTCACCTCCCCCCTCCCACCGTCATTTGGTAATGGCTTCACTTTAAACATTCTTTTTGTAAAAAAATTGTGGTAAAATACACATAAAATTTACCATCTTAACCCTTTTTACGTGTACAGTTCAGCAGTTTTAAATACCCTCACATTCTTGTGTGACCAGTCTCTAGAA